GTATTAGGAAACACTTTATACTTACTGGACATGTTATACTCATTACATACTGTATATAAAATATGACCAAGAATGTGAGACAACTTTATAGAAATTCATATCACATCTGTTACTGATGCCATTTGTCATACTTTGTTAAACTCACAAATAATAAAGTTCCATAACTTCAGTTGGGAACAAAGACCACACCTTATCTCCCCAAGGCAATTTCCCATCCAATAGGTGTGCTAGATAGGTGTGTATAACCCTTTCTCCTGTCTGTTACTCCCTCTTTCAGCACAAGAACCAGAGGGGGATTCAATAGAGCCTGAATACCTGCACTGAGACCCTCACCCTGCACCCTCAGTCTCAACTCTGTGTTTTTCAAGCCTTTCCCTGTTTTTTTGTATTAAACAAAACATTAAGCTTTCCCAATGGTGTGGTTTTCGTTTTGTGAAAAAGTGCAAATGCAGTTTTGTATATAATAACCTCACATATTTTTTTGCTGTTGGTCGTGAAATTGCTCCTGCTGACTTGAGCCAGCCATTTTTTCCTCCGCTCTGTGTCAGTGGGGAAGCCGTACATTCGTACTCCTTTCTCGGAGCGATTTGAGCATCCCCAGGCAGCACAGCAAACCATGGTGGCGACTAGGAGGCAGCACAGCAAACCAGGACAACACGGAGGAAAAGGCACAGACAAACTGCATGATATGCTATTCAATGTTTATTGAATTCCATGTATTTGCAGTGGATGTTCATCATCATCATCATCATGCTGCTGCTGCTGCTGCTTGTCCTTTGATAGTCACCTGTCGGTCTCCTGTCCTTTCTGAAAGCCATAAAGATGACATTAGTCATTTAGATAACTTGTGTCCTCAATTACCATGGGATTACTGAAACTAACATGAATTTAAGAAAATGGTAGAAATTATCTAAAAAATCTAATCTGAATTTTGAAGCATTCCTTTAGATCCCCTCCCTCTAAATATATCAATAAACATTAGAAAGTGATGCTCCTGACTACCATACAAGTTTAAGAAGATAATATTGGTTTTAAAGAATTCAAAGCTATAAATAAACAGCAACAGGCTCTTTAACCAAGGCACTGTTAGCCTAACATGTAAACTAGTTGTTCACACTAATCCTAATATTATCACTTAATATTAGCAAATATTAAATTAAATATTAATTAATTAAATATTAAATTAGCAAATTCTATTTTATTTTTTAAAACATATTGATGTAAATACATACACATATCGATTTGTTGTATAAATATTGCAAATCAAAACCTTTATTCACTAATAATTACCAAAAATCCTAGTTCTATCTCCTGTTATCAATGCATTCACATTGCCCGCCATGAACTTCCGGGGAACGATCCTCGTCTACATGAACCACGTGACGATAACCGTTTTTGGACTTCCGCTGTCGTAACTCTTCTATCTATATGGCGCTGGTCCAAGGCGACGTACTCTGTTCTCCCGGTGAGGTATGATCTGAACCAGTCAAGGGGAGAGTCAGAGAGTCCAATAGTGGAGTGGAGACGGTGGAGGAGGAGGCCATGATCGACGGTGTCGAAAGCTGCAGTGAGATCGAGGAGGAGGATGAGGAGAGAGGGAGAGCCAGCATCAGCCGTCATCAGCAGGTCGTTGGTGACCCTGACCAGGGCAGTTTCTGTGCTGTAGCCTGAGCGGAAACCAGACTGGAACTTCTCAAATAGGTTGTTGGAGTTTAGGTGGTCTTGGAGCTGAGCAGCAACTAGTTTTTCCAGCACCTTTGATAGAAAAGGAAGGTTGGAAATGGGTCTGTAGTTGGCCAGGACTCCCGGGTCAAGGGAGGGTTTTTTGAGACAAGGTTTGATGACAGCAGTTTTTAGGACAGAGGGGACATGGCCAGCCTGGAGAGAGAAGTTTACGATCTTGGTGATCATGGGGCTCATGGTACAGATGTACAATTTCACCAGAGCTGACGGAAGGGGGTCCAGGACACAGGTGGAGGGCTTCATCCTCCTAACGATGCCCTCAACCTCTCGCTGAGAGATGTCTGTGAAACAGCGAAGAGGCTGGGTTGTCCCAGGCTGTTGGTCAGCAGTTGGAACTGGAGGTGCAGAGGGGATGGAGCGGATGGTGTCAACTTTGTTTTTGAAGAAGGCAGCGAAGTTGCTACACTTATTCTCAGTGGAGTCGGAGTGTAGTGGACTTTGGGGTTTGAGGAGGTGGTTTATGGTGGAGAAGAGTTGCTTGGAGCTTCCAGTACTGTTGTTGATGATGGAGGAGTAGTACTGGGACCGTGCATCTCTGAGGGACTGTGCGTAGGCCTTCTAGTGTTCACGGTAGGCTAACCGGTGAACAGTGAGTCCTGAGGCCTTGAGCCGCCACTCAAGGACAAGCCCAGCTGTCTTCATTCTCCACAGCTGTGACTTGTGAATACCCAGAGGCCACACCCTCTGCCAGCATTTCACGAAACAAAGCCTCCCAAACCTTCCAGCGATTCATGCCGGATATGTACAGCATAGGGCAATGAAGAACGATGCTGTTCCTACTTTGTTTGGACCAGCGGGATTCGGGTACACAACCTGTAAGTATTCATTGTTGTTTGTGTATTTATGCTGTTTAAAACAAACAAGGTATCTACCACGACTGTTTAAATGGATAAACGTTTTTTGGGCTGCTAAGCCATTGACACAGTGCTAACTAAGTTGCTAGCGTTTCCATATATCAACTCCAATGTCAGCAGATTTCCTTACATGTATCTCATAGCAGGAGAATGTCTGCATTCACACACGAAATACTCATAGACATATATACTCCGGCTGATTTACCGTACGGTCAGTCGCGAAACTTAATTACATTATAGTTGGCGTTCCTAGCGTGTATGCTACCGAGCTAAAACAGAAGGCTACCAAGAGCTCCAACAAGCCGTTTAGGACAGAGAGTGGATACACATACTTTACAGAGATGCTGTATGAGAAACCAATGTGAGTTTGGAAAATGTCACAGTATAAAACTATTTTAGTAGACCTCAACAATGAAATTATTATCAGTAGAAATAGCCATGATATGGGCCCTTTTTAAGGTCCAACAAATGATAAGTATTTGTACAAGGTGAAAGAGACTCAATCATTAAAGATTGAACAAATGCACACATCTGTGGTTGTTAGGCGGACATTGGCTTGTTGGAAGCTTTTTACAAACATAGCCCATCAATTCCTAGATAGTGGCAAATGCTAAGGTCTGGCAGACTGCTATATTACTGGCCAATCAAACACTTAAACTTTAAAGCTTTGAAAATCTGAGGTAAAATATCACCTCATGTTGGATCAGACTATATAGCATTTATTGACAGCTTCATCCATTCTGTTTATAAGATTATAGAAAGGGTCAGGAGTCAAAAGTCCAGTTAAACACAACAACTAGTCAACAAAAAATAATATGACAAGCTTTGCAAAATAGCATAGCATTGCAGGGTGTTATTATTTGTTTGCCCCTTGCACATACACATTACATTAAATGATGGGGATGTAGCAGCATTATAGAAAATCAAATTTTAGGTTAGCATCATTGCCTGGTCGTGGAAGCTGTCAGCAGATCTAACCACAACTGAGAGTTTGTGATCTTGTCTGCTGTTTGAATGTCTGACGTTCAGAAACAACTCCTTTTTCACTCTCCCACACCCTGCTTTATTTTCTTCTTTTGTGCATAGATCTTCTATCATCTCTCCTCTTTTCTCTCGCTGCGTCTTCGCCGCTGTGTAACTTTTAATATCTGGGTTTAGAACAAGGACAGAGGCAGCAGCTCCGTGACAGTCAGACATGGGGGAGCAACACAAACACCCTTCAAAGCTCTTGTTTTTCTAAAAGCGAGGATAAGAGGGAACCAGCACATAGACACAGCCGTGAGAGTGTCTGATTTAGTCTTTGGCGAACAGAGGCTGTAGCTTTCATTAGAGAAAACCCACAAACATGCACACACACATACACACACGCACATTGACGTTGTTAGCTAAGAGGTAGCGAGGTGTGGAGAGAGGGGTGGAGAGGTTACAAGATAATCAACACTCCCTCTCCACCGTAAACCTACACAATAAAGACTTGACATCAATATGCCAGTGCAGTGATCTCCACAATGGTGCCTGGCACCGGAGGGGGAAAGGCCTCCACAGTACATCCACACTGATTAAACCATGGTGTGTGTGTGTGTGTGTGTGTGTGTGTGTGTGTGTGTGTGTGTGTGTGTGTGTGTGTGTGTGTGTGTGTGTGTGTGTGTGTGTGTGTGTGTGTGTGTGTGTGTGTGTGTGTGTGTGTGTGTGTGTGTGTGTGTGTGTGTGTGTGTGTGTGTGTGTGTGTGTGTGTGCACGGATGTTCTCTGAAATGTATTGTATAGCTTGACTACTTTTAATTAGCAGTGAGGAAGTTGGCTGTCTTTT